TTCACATTGATGAAGATACTAGAAAATAATGTAACGTATTCATAAACATAGCTTGTAAAGATTATTGTAAATGTGGAACACTTTATAATTCCCTGGTAGTAGGGATATATTCAGAATAGAAATACGATTCATAGAAACTGAACCCATAATTCACCATATATTTTTTTCCATTTTGCAGAAGAAATGTAGTCACTTACCTAAAACAAAAGCTGTCCTGACCAATACCAAGCCCTACTTGCAAAGGACTGCAAGTGTGTTACAGAGTTCACCAGACATTTTTCCTTAAAATGTTAATTTTAATCCAAGTGTATAAAGTTATGTTACAATAGAAGCAGGTTCTTACGCAACCTGAGCAACTTTAGGTCTACCAGCCCACCTGTGCTGACAGGCATTCACACTTCTGTCTAGTCCTCTTCTTCTTTTAACTTGAAGTGCAGATGTGATACAAGTGCATATAGATTTTTACCTGTTTTTTACACTATGAAAGATGGATGGATAATGTACTCCTAAGTGAAATAATAATCTGTCTTGAGTTCATGTAAGCAGGTTTGTGTAAGTACTATAAACCACTCATTTGTAGTTAGAGTTAAGTACTACCAACTAGATTGCTGTTGATCATTCTATTAAAGCACATTTCTTCAGTTTTAACATCCCTATTATGCTTACCTTTGTCAAAGACTAATTTGAAAAGTTTGTGATTCCTGGAACTAGTTATTTGATGATGAATTTCAGGTAGGAATTAGGAAATATTCAAAGCAGCAGTATTTGTCACAAAGAAAAAAGGGCATTATAATAGAATAAAAATCTAAAGGCTGACAATATCTTGTGAGATCACAGAATCACAGAATGTTGGGGATTGGAAGGGACCTCGAAAGATCATCCAGTCCAATCCCCCTGCCGGAGCAGGAACACCTAAATGAGATCACACAGGAAGGCGTCCAGATGGGTTTTGAGTGTCTCCAGAGAAGGAGACTCCACACACCCCAGGGCAGCCTGTTCCAAGATGCTGGGGTTCAAAATGGCAGCAAGGGAGTGAGAAAAGATTGAAATATCAATGAAAAAACGGAGAGATTTGCATCTCTCAGGAGAATAAAGAAAGATCATAACTTCTTGATCCAGGCAATATGTGAGATACAGCACAAGGTCATGTGAAATGTCTACTAAGATAAAAGGAAGCTATTCAGAAGCTGGCAAAGAACATAATCAAAGCAGCCAAGAAATCTAGATGTGGAAAACATATATCAGGGCTGCCAGAAATTTGCTTGTTTCATTTCTGTTAAGGACAGTGATGAAAAAAAAAGTTTGATGTGTGCAGAGGATCAGAGATTAAAATGGGTTATGGGCTTCAAGAATTTAGAGAACAAATGAAAATTACAGCTACTTCCTGAATTCCCAGCTTCTCATTTACAAATGCATGAACAACTTTTTTTTAAATGAAAGTAATCTATGCTGGACAACATTATCAGAAACAGAACATACATGGCCAAATGTATGAGAAGTAAATTTAGTATTCCAAAGTGGATCTTTAATTGCAGTGATGGATATTGAAGCGTAATTCACAGTAGTGTTGTTTTATTTGAAAATTTTGCATTTTTCCCGTGCCACTTTCCAATCTCACTGATCAGACTGAGTCCAGCAGAGGTTTTGATGCTGTTAATCTGAGTTTCTTCAAAAGCTGTTCAGGCTTGAAATTCAGACAGTTTGTGTTAAGTTTTGAAATCAAAACTGATTCCAATCATATGTGTGTATTCTATCAAAAATAGCGATCATTGCATCAATGTACTATTTGTGCCATCCGCTGCTTGTGTAGTTTTGTAAATGGGCTAGAACTGAGCGGGATCATTGGCTCTCTCTGGCTCTCTGGTGGCTGATGCTTGGCCTGGGAGCATATGCCAGGGAGTTGAGAATTGTTAAAAATTTTGAATTTGTAGGGGTAGGCTGCGTAGGTGTCACTACTAAATTCGTCAAGACTGTTAGAGGTTCAAAATGTGACACATGCCTTGTAAAGTGCAGCAGTCTGCCAGTGCCATTGTGTGTGGAGACGCTGCTAATTAAAAGAGACAAAAGAGAAAGAAAAGACCAGTAAACTATTTGCTGAAAGCTATTTTTGCTTTGTAAATAAATTATAGCAGTATAGAAAATAAAATCCCATAGAATATGCATTTTGATGACTGAAGAAAAAAACAGTGCATCAGAAAGATTTGTGAACAATGTACAGTGGAGATAATTGGTAAGAACTCAGTAAATGGAGAAATGACACATAATGGAATAAAAAAATATGGCATTTTACTTTTTTTGGATGCGTTTTTTAATGGTTTTTGTGAACTGTTAGTGTGATTCTGCCACGCTGCTGATCAACAGTTTGAGTTAGTGAGACAAAATTACCTTGAGTTATTCTGGTGTAAGCATTGCAGCATTTTTTTAAGAATTCTGTATCTAATATAATTCTAGAAATTGAATTTAAAGACCCATAGCAAAACTAGTTAATAAAAAAGCTAAGATGTTCAAGTAGCCATCCACAATGTTTTTTGTATATAAAAAGTATTTTAACAAATATTGAGCATGGAATGTAGCAAGCAATTGCTGAATAGGAATGAGAACAGCGGTATTCTGGAGACAAAATAAACTCCATAGAAAATGCTTGAACAGAGATATGAGTCATTGCATGTACGCTGTGATTTTGAATACTTTAAAGCAGATGATGTCAATTTCCTATTAATCTGATAATTTAACCTTACTTTTCTTCAGGGTTTGGAAGGTCCTTTTGGCCCTAGGGGACCTCGGGGACCTCAGGTAAGGGAACTAAAAATTAACCAATAAAACACATTCTATTCTGTAAGTTTCTTCTGCATACAACCTGTCAGCTCTATGGAGAGCAGCACATTTGGTGCATGAAGCACCAAGACAACAGAGTCTGTCAAATCTTTGTCTTTTGGAAATAATTTTCAAGAGAAAAATCTTGTCTGCTGCTGCTTAAAGTTACTCAGAGGTGTGTGGCCCCCTTGGGCTCTCCAGCTGCAGAGCTGTCCTCCTACCCTTAGAGTATAATCATGCCCATGCCAATTTAGCACCCCTACTTGCTAAATTCTGCTCACTTCTCTACTGAGCCTGTTTCTGGTTTATATGAAAGAAATAGGGTAACAGAAATTTATTACATGCTATTAAGATGTGAACGTTTAGTCCTAAATGCAATTTCAGTGCTCTTCAAATATGTTTTTCTGCTTTCCTTTTGCTTGGCAGTGGACATGCAATAATACTAAAGATTTATTAAATTATTGTTTTATGCTCCAGTAATTCTGTCTGATAAGCAATTAGTAAAGATGTGATCTGTGCCCCAAAAGATGACACTTATTTATACTTTTTATTAAAAAAATGGAAACACATGGAGTCTAGGAGATTTTTGGCCAATTTTGACAGGAATTAATGAGACAAATCAGATCTAAACCTGATAAACCTGACAAATCATAACCTGATTATTTTAAGGCAAAATTAAAATTTTGTTTCTTTTCATATACAGCATCACTGCAGTTACTCCTATGTTATTCCAGTTTTGAGCTTAATGTTCTGTATTGTCATATAGTACAATGGTCTACATTCTGTTCAGGTTTGAAAGGGTCATTACAAAAAATAATCTTAACTGCTGAAGATCAGAAACAGATGAATGTACCACTGTACAAGAGGATTCATCAGTGGTTACAAGGATTTACTGTAATTCTGAGCTATGAGAACTAAGTAATTACCATGGGAACTACAGCTTGCTTAATGACTAAAAGGAAGATAGCAGGCAATGAGGTTGAGAATGATTTATCTTAATTTATGTATTTATATTAACAGGTTATATTATGTATTTCTGTTAGCACACCCTGCCTCAAGCACATTGCCATTTTACTGCTGGGACATTTGTCCATCTCACATCATCATAAAAATTTGTTCCTCAGGAAGAATAGCTTACAAAAATGTGATTTTTTCAAAGTCTCTTTTGGAAATGCTTTTCAAGTACTAAAATGTTTTAAAGAAATATTCTGTTTCTTTAAATGACTGAAAAAGAGAATGTATACACCAAGATAATAAAGCAGAGTTAGCTTCTTTTGAAACAAACAAAACTGCAAGATTACTTTTAGTAAATATACTCAATTAAAATGCATAAACCAAGGAGTAAGACCGTATAACTGTGAGTTTGTGGACAGTACAGCACTTGGGACATCACTGTTCTCTTATGAGACTGTTATTCCCTAGTTTGTAAAGTTATGGTTTGAGCATAATTTGAAACACTAACTAATTGATTTCATTCACTGTTTTCCCCCTAGTATTTCATTTGTGGTCATATAACTGTCACTTAGGTATGTGATTGAATTTTTGCATGCTTTGTGCAAAAGCTGCAAAAGGAAAGAATAATAAATGGGTTGTTTCCTGACTGGAAATCCATGTGAGATACAATATTACAGATATTCCAAAATTTTCGTATCTGTTTGTGAGACAAAATGCAATATTTTGGAGGATTTATTGTAGCTATTAATGATGGAAGTTGAAAGGGATTATTTTTGTTTATTTTTGGATAGTCATGTGTTTCATACAGTTTATCACACTTAAGAAAGCGAGTGAGCACACTCTGAGCACATTTTTGTGTCAGCAGTGAAACCAATACATTTAGATTTGAGCCAGTTTGTGTCTTTTTAGAAGCATAAAATTATCCATATTTGCCCCAGCATTTTTACTACAGTAAGCTGTAATTTTGTGGTAATATTCTTTTGATAGGTCATGATTTTTTTTCCTCCAGTCACTTTAAAAGCTTCATGAGACTTCCACTTCAGTTTGATTATCAGCTCTGTCAGTGGTAGTTGCAAGAACGTTCACCAATGTGACCCAACTGGGCAGCCCAGAAGATGCCAGTGGGATGTTCACTAACTCACAAGTCGGTGAACTGGATGGTTCCAGTAAGAGTTAAATCTTTAACACCAGACTTGGGTGTAATCTATTCATCCTGTGATCTTATTGCTCTTCATAATTATCCAGCTTACTTTTTTCTCGCTATGATACCAGCCACTGTATTGGTGAAGGGACCTCCTCAAATGTCATCACTCCAGACAAAGAACCGTACCTGCTCCGTCTCTTCCAAAGAACCATTAATTGTTTCACTGTGTGAGGGGACACAATGATTGTAGTAATGTCAGTGAATTAAAATTAATCTCAGAGATGTAGGGGAAGTAATTTCTTACAAATGGAGCTAAATAGGATGTGACACGTTAGTTTATTTGCTTGGGCAGAAGAGAGAATATGAAAATATGACAAAGACAGGAGCAGGAAGAGAAAGGAACAGAAAGGTTCAGATAAAATGGATGCCATTCACATGGAGTAGTAAGATATCCTTTCTGCCAGCACTGGTTATTAAATGTTAACAATATTCAATGTGTTGAGCACTTCACAGGACGTGACACAGAAAACCCTTGTCCTTTAGAGCTTACCATTGTGCTACATTTTAGTGTACCCTGTTCAGGCCAAATTCAAAAGAAACTTTACATGCATCTTCAAAGGCAACTCATTCTATACTTTGACTTTTGTGTAGGGTATCAGTGGACCTCCAGGTGAGCCAGGCCCAAAAGGTATTCAAGGAAGCAAGGTAAGATGTAGCTGTATATGTGTAGATGTTATTTATATAGGGAGAGAGGATGCAGACACTCTGTGTAGAATCTTTATACTCTATATCCTTTTTCCTCATTAGTTTTTTGTTAGTGGTGTCCTTTGCACAGCAATAATATACATCACCTGCTTGGTGCACCATGGTGTCGTCATGTTATGAAGGCTTTGTATCATTGGCACATATAGATGGTTCTCCATCTGTGTCTCCGAGAGTGTTTTGTAGGGACACAATAGAGTGCTACAGAAGACCTGCCTAGAGCCACAGCACTTAGGCTGGAATTTAAATCACCTGAATATGCATCTTGGCTTCTGCTGTCACTTGGGAAGTCTTTTCTAGAATATTTTTTACTAAAATGCCTTGTATTTAAAGATTTTAAGTAATTCTAGATGGTGGTTATAAAATCTTTAGATTGACTATTTAAAGTCATTTTAATTGCTTATACACTGTGAAAACTCAAGACAACTTGGTAGAGGTATAAGATCTGATGATGATTAATGCCATAATTATATTTTAAATAGATCATTTAGAGTTAATGACTACAGCTTGTCAAGCAAAATCAGTTGGATAAAGTATCTGGTTCATTTAGGCAGTCTTCTGGTTTGCAAACCTTTGGGAAATTGCCGTATGTGAATACAGTTGTCTTGCTCATGGGGCAGCTATTATCATGATGTTCAGTACAAAGACATCTTTGATGTATCCGTTTAAAAATGACAAAGACTTTCTTCCACAGGATTATTGATAGCCCACTTAATACAATGGCATAGCTAAGTTATACAAGGCAAGTAAATTCACACAAAGCAATTTGACAAAGATGCAATATTTAAACACTCGTGTTTTGTTTCTTAAGCAACAATTTCATTTGAAGATTCACAGAAATAAATTTAAATATGGGAAATGTTTATGGCAAAATGTCTGGAATACTGGAATCCGTCATGATTTTCCTCTTCCTGACAAATGCTTTTTCATACTTCTTATTTCTTCATCTTCTCAACAAAATGCTTGATTAGGAAAGCTGCTCCAGAATATTTCAGAAGTAGGGA